AGCTCTCGTGCATCCGGAATCCCACCCAAAAGCACCCATTCGTGGTCCCAGGTTAATTTCTTATCAGAAACTTCCTCCCAGAAATCCCACCACCATCCCCATATTCGGAAAGATGCAGGGCAATCGTACCACAAATGGGTCGTGGATTCGAAAGCCCATCCACATCTGCTACAAGTAAGCTCGACTTTCATACCCCTTTGGGCTAAATTAACAGCAGAGGGGGTGGCTAGTAGAGACAAGAGCCAAAGGTTGGCAACCAGATGATAATTAAGCGTTGATGCCAGTTGTTTCCAACAACGTGAAAGGTTGGCAGCCAGATTATAATTAAGCGCTGATGCCAGTTGTTTCCAACAACGTGTGAGCGTTTTTTCAATCTTTTGGTTATCGATATTGAGCACCTGATTCCATCTTTTCACCGCCACCTCTATTGGTAAACGTTGAGGTCTTAGAGAACTGTACCCCTGATTGGTCATATAACAAATGAGTGGTAAATCCTCACCACCAGGGCCTTGTCCTTTCCAGCCCCACATCTTGGGGTCAACCTTCAGATCTGCAATGGTCATACCATGGGCAAAGACATTACAGTCCCAGTTCCCAGTTACCTTCTTCGTCGCATATTTCCCAGACCCGAACCTGGGCTAAATTAGCAGAGAGTGGCGGGTGAGTAGGGCTCTCCAATTGAACCAACTTGCATGGTTTGTTGGGTCCAACACCAACCCAACATTGGAATTCCCGTTTACCATTCTGATCAAAGCCAACCAATTTCCAAAAGGAGGAGGTGGAGCTTATTGGAGTATCCACATACCAAGTCCCTGGCGGGTCTACCCCTTCAGGGCTCAAAATGTCCTTCCACTGTGATGGGATAGTATCAATTAGCTCCACCAACCTCTCTTCCACAAACCAGACCGGGCCTAACACCTGTCTTATTGCTGTTACCGAATACCAATGACCTTCCAGGGAGTTCCAGATATCTCTTATTCTCAATATTCCCCGTTCAATCAAGGTTCTTCCAAAGCTGTCTCTTGAGGAGTCATCAGCGAACCATCAAGCATCAGATTTTCGGATAGCCAGATTCTCAAATAGTGGTTGCAACAAAACTTCAGCTTTTGTTGTTGGAGGTAGCCATGAGTTTGGTTTCAGATATTTCCAGGTACTCATGGCTGCCTTTCAAAAGTCTCATTTAATCTGACGATTTTTGTAAGATGGCAGCCAAAAAGCAAGTCCACACATCCGAAGGACGTATTAAATTCCACTCAGCAGCCAAAATGAGTTCAGCTAGTAAATTTCAGTGTGTAATCTCTGGTGAACACATCACTTTCATCGCCCACCGGACTAGCATCGTCATGTTTTCCCTTTGGGGGTCCACCAAGTTTAGGCTCCCTTCCTCCTTAGGAAAGCATAACAGATCCCAGACAACTTTAAACAAGAATCCCACCTCCTCAGTGGAAGAGGGTTTCGAGATAAACCTGGAAGCCCTTCGTCTTATTAATGAACATAAATGCCTGTCGAGGGGTCTGATAGCAGCCACAAACCACAGCAGTGCAAACAGAGCACTGTTAAGCACCAAAACTCTACCGTAGATTGACAGGTGGGGAGCTTTGCCCCACGTAGCAGCTCTGTGTAGTAGACGTTGCAGAAGGCTACCGTCTTGGTCGACCGTACATGAAAGGAGTGTCACTTGGACCCCTAAGAACCTCTCTGAATCCCCTGCCTCAATTCTTTTCATACCCCAGTTAATTACCGGAGAGAACCTGCTAGGGAGGAGTAAACTGATTAAATCCAGTTTACCGAAGCTTCTGAGAGTATTGAGTACTCATCAAGGCATTGTTTCAGAGCATTCATAAAACTCGTCGAATTCTCTGAGATCGCGAATAAGTCATCGGCCAGGGCTTTAACCTTACATTGATCAGGCCCTGCATTAAGCCCCCTAATCAGCGGATTAGATCTTATATTACATAAGAGGTTTTCCATCTGAATCACGAAGAAAAGTGGGGCCAAGGGACATTCTTAGCGAAGTGAACGGGTGAGCGCAAAGGAATCTGAAATATTCCCGTTTACCATAACATCGGCCATTGATAGCGAGTAGAGAGCTACCACCCAGTTACACAAATTATCACCAAACCCAATATATCGTAGGGTAGTTAGGACATATGTCCAATTAACTCTATCATATGCTTTTTCAAGATCCAACATCAGAATAGAGAAATCTGTCTGGGTATTTTCCACCAGTTCCAAGGTTTCAATTGTTGTTACGATATTGTCAAAGATTGAGCGGCCTTGTACAAAGGCTGCTTGATTCTGAGCGATCAGGGAGGGGAGGTGCTTGCCCAACCGCCTAGCCAATACCTTTGCTAGTAATTTATATGACACGTTAAGAACTGAGATTGGGCGCCAATTCCTAATCTCTAACCTGTCCCCCTTCTTATACAGCAAAGATATAATCCCGTTCCTCATTCCTTTCGAAAGATTACCCCCTGTCAGCACCTGATTATAAATATCCAGTAACTCCTCTTTGACCATATCCCAAACGATTAGGTAGACTTCCACAGGTAAACCATCATATCCTGGGGCTTTGCCTTTCGCCATCGAGCGAAGGGCGACCTCCGTTTCCTCTGTAGTGATTGGTCGGTCCATGTCAAGTTTTCCTTGTAGGGAAAACTTAGCATAAAAATGTTGCCAATGAGTAGAATTTTCAGATAGATCCAGAGTCAAATCCTCATTCATCCGCCTGGTAGTTAGAATGTCTTTATAGTATAGAGCGACATAGAAGCAAAGTTGGGATTGATGCTTTGTCGAGGGCAGTTCCGGGTCGAAAGGGTGTGAAAGCTCGCACATCAAGTGTGATAAACGTTTTGGTAATAGTCTTTGGAAGGTTTCTCTAAACATCCGATCATAAATAGCTACTCTCTTGACTTTTAAAGCGCTCTGCCCAAATATTCGACTGTTGCTGTTGATAAGCATCCCATTCCGCCATGCACGTTTCCCTAATTGGGCTCCATACTGGGTGTTCATTCATACGTGATTCTGCATATTCAATCTTGCGGATCAACTCTCTTTCTTTGTTATTCTTCCCTGCTGCCAGAATGCGTGAAAATAGACTAAGGTTTTTGGAAAAGATCCTGGATCCGACATCCCACCAAGCCTCTTTCGAGTCAAAGGAATCTTGATTCAACTTCCACCCTTCCCCGAAGCGTACCATCCAATCAGCCACCCCGGGGACAGACAACATCTGAGTGTTGACCCTATAATACCCCGGTCCTCAATATCTGAGAGTTAAAACCAGCTACTACTGGCTTGTGATCAGAGATAGGGTTAAAGACTTCATCGATGCGGACAGTAGCATGCCAAACATCCGGTGAGAGCAAGAAGTAATCCAATCTTCTACGGATAATACCGCTCCCTTCTCTTATATTAGAGAACCAGGTGATCCCAGGCTTACCTGGGTGGAGGATGGGATATGGTTCGATCAGATATAGATTTGTCATAAACCGCAAGAGGACTTTCACATCCTCCAGTCCTCGCACACCATCTTGTCTGTCTAACACAATATTCCAATCCCCTGCAATAACTAGGTTAAAATAATCTGGGACAAACAATGGGAGATCATAAAAAAAGAGGCATCGTTCATTGGCATCGGTTGGAGCATATATTAAAGCCACAACCCAATCCTGCCCATCGATCCAGAGCTTAATCCAAGCCCATCGTCCCCAAAGGTCAGCGCAAAAGTCAACTATCTCAGCATTCAAGTTCCTACGTACAAGGACAACCACTCCACCTCTCGAGCCTCTGGCGGGGGACCAAATCTGCGGTCCATCCCACCAGGGACCTAACTCCGAGATTTTGAACTCTGAAAGCTTACTCTCTTGAATACAGGCAATATCAATTCGATTCTCATGAATCCAGCTCTTGAGCCGACCCTTTTTATTTCTGCCAGGTGTGTCCCCCAATCCGCGAACATTCCACGTGGTCAATGTAGGTTTGCCCATTTAGGGCAGAACTTCCCGCTAATTGGATCTGGGACACCGTGGTAAGAACCTCGGGCAGCCATGATTCATTTAAGGCTCGCTTCAAGAAGGGGGAATCCAACTTCTTTCCATTGCCCAATTTTGAGTTTAGATCTGACAAGAAATCAGCCATCACGGTCGGAGCCACCTTTATGCGGTGCAAATCCGACTTCCTACCATCTGTGAACCAAGACATTGGAATCAGCCTCAAGCCTTCACTCTCTAATTGTTCTAGCTGGATCGACAGAAAATGTGCATCGAACAGGGGAGAGTAGTATCGGGCTCGTTTGCCCTCAACTTCCACCAGAAACCGAGGCATCGAAACTTCAATAAAACGAAAGCTGAATTTGTTCTGGATCATCGTGCGTGCCAAATTTTCCAACGCGTATGGCATCGGAGATTCTTGGCAGCTCAAGTTCAAAAGGAACAGAAGGCCATCAGTACCCATCCAAGCAACAACCCACAGAGCATCTTTAACAGCAGTACACATAATCGGGATAAACTTCGACTCCAACACTGATTGACCCTTCGAGAGAGCATCCATACGAGAGCGTCAGGGTTTTCGCTTACCTGTTGTTGTTGATCGTGATTGGGAGCCATTCGAGCTTCCCGAATCCTCTGCATGGAGGTTATCGACCCGAATGTCATTCTCGCCCTCACTGAGCCTTCGTTGTTTCCCCAGGGATTCACCTCAAATACGACTACCACTTCCTCCGAGGGCAAAACTCCCGGAGTGAGCAGGTCTCGGTTGTTGGAACAATCCCTCGGACGGGCCCGGTGGGATTCTACCACCAGGTTGACGTGGCGGTTGCCAGGGGGCAAAGCCGTGTAGGGGAGCGACCGATGGACTTACCCCAAGTTGCTGCTGAGGAGGGAGCATGCCAAATTGCTGAGCCGCATAGGGGTGTGATGGTAAGTTTCTTAAGAAGACAGCCCATGCAACATCCAAGGCAGAATCCTGTCGGATCCTGGGATCGTAACCATGGTTGGTGCCTATCGCGGGATGCCCGCATTAACTCCCGGAGAGAAAGCGGGGTCCATCCTTACTACCATATCTTTCGAAGCATTCGCTGGTGTAGCTGAGCCTGCCTATTAGGCTGACGCTTCTGGGGCCGCCAACGGCCCATTGTACCCTTGATGTTGTTGGTTCCGCCTGGCCGTCGATTGAACTTGATTGGAACTCGAAGTGCCTTGATCCGGCCTCCTCCCTGCACGTCGGCAGGTGGACTCGGTGTGGAAAAAGGTGCGACATCGCTTGGACCATTCCGAATCGGCACTCGCGAGTCTTATCTCCAGCACATCTCCTTGTAAGGTTTGCACCATAATCTTGTCCTTCATATTTGTCTTGTAGGCCGGATCGATATCGAAACGCAACTTCACCAGCTTCGGATCCGTGTCATCACCCTCTGGTTCATGTTGCTTCACAATCTTGCCGACCACTTTCTCCACGTGCACGTGGATGAATGGCATTTCATCCAGAGGTATTCCCACAGCTACGACCCAGAAGGTACTCTGATCGATCAACTGTCTCCAATCTCGAATCTCGGCTTTTGTCAACCATGGTTTGAAATCCGTCCGGTAGGTGGTCCCTGCAAGGTCGATAGCGTCGGATTTCTTCCTTAACATCCAGTCGGAAATTGCTTGAGCTCTTGGAACGTAAGAAATAACATTAGGGCTCTCCACTTTGATTCGACCCCTCTTGAAATCTTGTCCGAAAACCTCGTCTCGGATCCAAACATCCTCATACGCCCTCACCGCATCTTCTTTGACTTTCTTAGGTAAAAAATGTGCTCCGTCTCTCGAAATGACTGTCACTGTTCGTTACTTAAGCCATTTGACTTTAATTTCATCGAGAGACGTATTTAATACAAATTTTACTTCCTTTCCTGTCACTTGCATCTCCCTTGGATCTATGTCCGTTGGGAGAATACCATCCTCAAAACAAGCCCTAATCATCTCCCTTACTCTTTCTTCTTCCAAGCGATAATCTCCTGGGACTTGCTCTCTCCCATCACCTCCCCCTTGTCCTATTGGCTCCGCCTCCATACTTAGACTCAACCCTCCAATTCTTCACAAAAGCTTCGTCAACCTTCTAAAGCGAAGGACAACAGACTTCACCACTCTATTATTACATATGCAAAACATAACACCCAGGGTGGCGGGGCGTACTGCAAAACAATTCTAACCGCTGATAGCATCGGCTATGGCTAACAGCCATAGGTCCTCGACAAGACGACGACTAGTAGGAGCTACCATCCACGACCGTGGGTCCACGGTGGAACCACCTGCCGCCGGTCAGGCCTGTGCCACTACAGACGGGGCTAGGGTCGAGCACTGCCGCGTCAACCGTAGCGTCTTTTCGTGAAGCGTCGCCGCCCGGGTCCATACCCTCGCGTTTCGATTCTGGATTTTTGCCCTTTTTTTTTTATTTTTTTTATTTTTTAGAAAGCTATGTTCTTCTCTCAATTTCACCTCACACTACCTACCTACCACTCCTCCTAATTGTAGGCATATGGGGAACTCCGTACCAGCCAGAACCGTGTTCACGAGAGAACATGGGGGGGCTGCTCCCGACCTGCAGGTGGGCGATACCGGCTAGGGGACAACCGGTAGCATCAGGGACCATGCCAACAGGACCAATCCCTGTGCCTCCCCTCAGGTCCCCTCCCCTATGAACATCAGCAGACTCTGCTAAGTGCCAATCGGGGGAAGCATCAGGGACCATGCCAACAGGACCAATCCCTGTGCCTCCCCTCAGGTCCCCTCCCCTATGAACATCAGCAGACTCTGCTAAGTGCCAATTGGGGGAACCAGTGGTCTATCTCTAGGTGGCGGGCGCCAAGCATGCCCAGGAAGGTACATGAGGCCAATGGGGATTGAACCCGCGACCTCCTGAGTGCCACTTGCGAGCCTTACCAACTGAGTTAGACAGGCTGTGTGGCCAAGAGAGTGGATAGAAAAAAAAAAAAAAAAGAGTGGCCAGCCCCTACGAAAGATTGTCCTACAGATAGACAATACGCAATTCCTTATTCGACATATTTGATTGATTTTGCAACAGCTATCATCATGGGTGTACCCAGGGGCCAGGTCCCACTAGCAGCGTTGAGTTTCCTCAACGCCTGAATCTGGACGTCTCTGTGGATATGTGCAGAAATGGCCTTGAGTTTTCTCAACCACACATCTCCACGATCACGTCCAGATTCAGGCGTTGAGGAAACTCAACGCTGCTACCGGTAGTGGGATCTCCTTCGGTTGTGAGGCCCTTCGGGGGTAGAATTGTGAGGCCCGTTGGTCATAACGATAATGCCCCTTCGGCCAGTTCTCCTTTTTTCCCTAAAAAGGGATCCATGACCTTGGGATATCATCTTTGAGCTGAGCTGGACCAGCATGTTTTCACTCGTCAGATCCCACTGGAATTCCAGTGGATGTTTTCACTCGTCAGATCCCACTGGAAAGTCCACGTAAATTCAGAGCTATTTTCACTCACGCGTCAGATTCCACTGGAATTCGAACACACGTCTGCATTTCAACAGTTCGTACGTATATGTGCCAACTGAGGGCACACTCACACTGGGACTTATTTACTTATTATTTTTTTTTTTTTACCGTGTAATTACGGCCAATTCCATTCAGGTCTGGACGTGAAAGTGGTCAGATTCATTAAATGAACTGGTTGTAGTAGTGCTACCTGTGTGTGAGTATGAAATGTCGTACTTCCCAAAAGAAAATTAAAAAAAATGAAATATCGTAGTGCTTGCTACCTGCCTGTGTGTGAGTATGGGGCTTTGCCCCCAAAAAAAAAAAGAAAAAAAAAGAAAAGTATGGGGCTCGCTGCACTACTCTCGACATGCACAAAAGCCGTGCATCTTTCCATATTCTAGCGGAAGATTCACTCTCGTTTTGCACATTTCGAGAGCAGTGCGGCGAGGCCCTATGCCCTCGGCCGGTTCCGCCTGCCGGCATACGATTCCCTTGCCTCCGACCGACCCCGATTATGCGAGCATGCTCTTCTGTGGATAAGGGCCTCGCCGCACTACTCTCCAAATGAGCAAAACGAGAATGAATCCACCCCTATAACACCTAAAGGTACATTGCCATTTTTTTTCGTCTTTTGTGCATGTGGAGAGTAGTGAGCGAGGCCCCAAGGGACGGCAATGCCTTCGCCGTGAAGCCGGCAAGCACCTCTACCTTTTTGCCTTCTGGGTGCCGTAGCGAGAGGCGGGGTGCGGCGCGTGCGGTGCAAGGGTGCAGATGTGTGTGCGTACGTACTAATTCTGTCTCATGCTAAGATACGTGGTGAGAAGCAGGATAGCGCCATAGAGGCCGCCGTAACGCGGAGGGGAAGAGGAGCAGCCGTTGCCCGTGTGTGTTGTTGTGCCACTCGGCGCCGGAGTCGGTTCGGGCAAGGCAGAGGTCGCAGACTGCCCGGCAGCAGCAGCTTTTTCGAACGCAATGGAGGTAGGACACGACAGGAGGAAGGATAAGCGGAGTGTGGGAGTGTGGCATCGATGGATTGGATTGGACGAAGATGAGTGCAAGGATGAGGAAGAAAAAACGAGATCAAATGACATCTTTGACCGGAAGACGGTTGTTGATTGGCGGCGTGTCTGATTGGCGGCGTGTCTGATTGTTGCTTGTCTGATTGGTCGCAGAGACGAGTGGTCGAGTCGTTGTGTGATTCATTGCGGGTTTGATTGGTTGCTTGGTCGATTGATTGCGGTTTTGATTGGGTGCTTTTGATTGGGTGCTTTTTGGTCGATTGATTTCGCGTTTGATTGGTTGCGTGTTGGATTGGTTGCGTATTTGATTGGTTGCTTGTTCGATTGATTGCTTGGTCGATTGATTGCGTGTTTGATTGGTTGCTTGATTGGTGTGCGCCTCAACTTCAATCCGACGTCGACGATGCACCCGCCTGTCATGAGATGAGAAAGAAAGAGAATGACGGAG